TGTATGTGCATGTGTGTGTGTGCATGCCCGCGCGCGTGTGTGTGTGTGTGTGTGTGTAGAACGGTGGGCAAAATAGACTCTAACCTTTTTTTTTACTGGCAAATCAAGAAGTAGTGATTAAAGTAAAGCATTAAGAGGCATCTTAAATATGTTATTTAGAGATACGAAGGTAAAATAAAAGACTCAGTTAAGAGTTGAGCATGTTGTCCTCTGGGTAAAAGAAAGATTGTATGTGTGGGAGGAGAGTGGTGATGAAGGCCTACTATTTTTAAAAAAAATAAGAAATTTTTATAGAATTGTTCAATTTTGTGTATGTAACTTTGATGTAGGAAATAACACTAAATTTTGAAAGGAAGCAAAGGAGAAGGGATTCATCTCAGCAAGGGTTAACTTTGAAGGAAAAGAGAAAACATGAGGATAATGCAGGTAAGGTAAGCAGAAGTTAGGAAAGTTTAGGGAATTTGATTTTTTTTTTTAAACCAAGAAAAGAAGGAGTTCAAGTTTCTTGCAGAAAGTCAGAGGAACTAAACATTAGAAAGTGGAGGGAATGTGACAGGAAGTCATGAAGATATATATACACAAGGGTTCCAAGTATAATAATCAAACTAACCTTAAATAGCCTGAATTTGAAGAGTGTTTTGTCAGCTTATAAATTTCTCTAGCAACTGCAGTCTGTGAATGAATTTGGGGCTTATTACAAGTGATTCAAATGGTGATTTTGAACTAAAGGAAAGGACAGGTTCTAGGTTGCTCCTAGTCACAGAGTAGCTAGGGAGGCAAATTAAGCCAGTTTGGGAAACACAGGGAAGAAGGAGAGATCAAGGAACTGGAAATCAGAAACAGAAATGAGGAGAAGAGATGTCAAAATTAGGGTTGCAACATTTGAAATTGAAGTAGAACTTCAAGTGCCAGTGAGGTAAGCAACCAGCATGGGCAGGCAATGACAGGTGACACTGACACATCACAGAGGCAGCAAATCAGTCATAGAAGCCTGAGGTACAAGGAGGAGATGTAGAACCGCTCAGTGAACCAAGAAGAGCACAACCATAACATGTTCGCTAGCATTCGGTTCAGGTGAATTGCTCTGAATAGGTCAGCTGCCCTGGAAATTGCCCTAAAGCATGTGGTCCTGTGCCCACGTGGTGCTGGAAATGCATTACCATATTGCAAGCAGTTAATTAATCAAAGTATGTAACTTCATCTGCATGAAACATGCAGATGAATTAGTAGGGAAAATTAAATCTTTGTTATATGATTTTTTTCTTAATGATTAGAGTGCATTCTAAACAGAAAAACAGAAAAACAAATTGATTGCCAAAAACCATGTTAATACCCTTCTAATTCACAAGGGTTAAGCACAATAAAAGTCAGGATATTGAAAGTTAAGGTTCTCATAGAAACATTAATTTGACAAAATTATGCATACTAGGTGTGGGAGGTTTGTATTTTAGAGCATAAAAGCAGTAGGAAATACTGTAGAATGCAGCTCAGTTAAACCAAATAACAATAACAAATTCAAGGTAAGGCATTAAAAATTATTATAGAAAAAATTATTTTTTAACCCCCAAAGAAGGATTATAAAACAATTTTAGAAAATAATGCCTTCAAAATTTTAAAAATGATTTTATTAGGAATTATTTGTTTTTCCCCAAAATCAATTTTCCTAGTACCTTGTACATCCTGACAATAGTTTATGTCTCTCATCAGCAGTTCAGGCTTGATCCTAATAGACCAAAAAAAAAAAAAAAAGGAGCTAGCTGATGATTTTCATGACCTAGTTGATCAAGATTTCAAATTCAGAGAATAAAAATAATATGTAGAAAAAAATACTTTTGTTTAGTATGGAGACAATATGGAAAAGATTGAAATATGAAGAAGTCTGCCAATGTGCCACCTTGCATCTATATTTGCCCTCTGTATATTTCTGCATACTTATTTGCATGTATGTATTATGTAAATGCCAATCTGCCTTTGCCAAATTCCCTAGGTAGTTAACAGAGAAAAAGAAAGGAAGAAGCTTAGGGCATGGTCAAACTTTAACACCTCTCTATTTTTGCTTCTGCTTTCCCCAGCTGGAGAGAAGGCCTGGAAAGGCTGTGCTCTCCAGGAAAGCTGGATTACCCACAGGGTGAGCGACTCATGGTCTTGTTATTTTGGCCCTCAGTATCTCCATTCTCTGTATAGGTGATATAGGAAGCAGAAGCAGTGGCAGTAAGCAGTAGACCCTGGGAAGATATCATCTCAAAATTCAGTCAGAATTAGGCATAATGAAGGAAGGAATGAAGGCTATGTAAGGGAGGTATTAGAAAATCTGGGTACTGAGATTCCATCTCACTCTGGTTAGAATGGCAGTCATCAAGAATACAAATAATAATAAATGCTGCAAAGGATGTAGGGGAAAAGGAACACTTATATACTGTTGGGAATGTAAATTGGTACAGCCACTATGGAAATCAGAATGGAGGTTCCTCAAAAGACTAGGAATAGAGCTACCATATGACCGAGCTATACTATTCCTCAGTATTTACCCTAAAGAGTTACAAGTTAGCAGATTGTGGTGATGTGTACATACCCATGTTTAAAGAAGCACAACTCACAATAGCCAAGTTACAGAACCAGCCTAGGTGTCTATCAACAGATGAATAGATGGAGGAAATCTGATATATATACACATACACATACACATACACACACACATACACACACATATACATACATACACATATAAAAATGGACTTTTATTCAGCTACAAAGAAGAATAAAATTATATCATTTGCCAAAAAAAAAAGATGGATCTGGAGAACACATTTTAAGTGAAATAAGCCAAATTCAGAAACTCAAGGGTCGTGTATTTTCTCAGATATGAAAGTTAAGAGAGAAAAAAAGAAAAAAAATGATCTCATGAAAATAGAAGAGAAACTAGTAGAATACAAAATGGGAATGGGAGGAGGGAAGAAAAGAGAGAAGAAGTTGGCTTCTAGATAATGAAATTGACCAAATTGGGTGCATGTATGAATATGCCACAATAAATCCCACTATTATGTAGAACTATGATGTAACAATAAAAGAAAGCTGTGTCATGGAGTCAAAGTTTTCCTGTTAAATTAGGTATTTCAGTATGCCAGTTATAATTACTGATGTAATTTTTATTATTGCTCAGTTTCAATTATTAAATTTTAAGTCATAGTAAAGCTTTTTGACAATTAAATCCAATATGAGTTATTTGGGGTGTAAAATTAACAAATAAAACTAACAAACAGTCCCCCCAAAAGAAAGCAAATCATGAAAATAAAAAGATAAGTTGACATTTAACAAGATGTATTTTCCATTGTACTTTATGTCGTAGCACAGCAATCTGTAGCACAACAGCGGTCCATTCATGGGAACAATATATGTAGATTCCTGAGCTTGCAAACTCCTGGGCCACTATTCAAACCACCTCTTCAAAAAGGGCACAATGGTCTGCAGTTTTCTCTGGAAAAAAAAAAAATCTATGCAGCTACATTCCATGGCAATGAACTCTTTATAAAAGCTTGATGAAGAAAAATGCTTTGTATGTTTACTTTAATCTTTACCCCCTGCTATTTTCTGTTGCCAAACAAACAGAAGGACAAACACAAACTGCCAACTAACAAGATGTACAAACGAGTGTTATTGAATATTCAGAAGTCTGGTGGTATTTCTAAAGTTCAGCAGCAGATCACTTAGTCTTTCTTTTGTTTTTGATTTTTCCTTATTCAGGCACCACAAGGCCACATAAGGAGGGTGAGGTCCCTGGGGTGGATTACATTTTCATCACTGTTGAAGATTTTATGGAATTGGAGAAAAGCGGTGCTCTCCTAGAAAGCGGGACTTATGAAGGTAAGCACAACTGCCCTGCAAAACCTATTCACTGTTGCATCAAAGTTTTTGTTCATCTGATTAAAGCGCGTCAGGGCACTAGGTTACCAATGTGCTGCTCCTTTTGGTTTGGGCACTTTAACAAGATAATTTTAGAAAAAGTTGAAATATATCTTAATTTGAACTTTAAGATGCAGAGGGAAATATGTATGTATATACATCCACTGAAGATCCTTGTGTTTGTCTCCTGGGGCTAAGCTGTGATGTTCCAGGAAAAAAAAAAAAAAAAAGGTCTTTAACTCTAGGTGGCATCTAAAGGAGGGCAGGGCTCTGTGTCTATGTGGCTCTCTTAAGTTATTCCACAACACAAGCCTTTATTCCCTCTGAAGCACAATGACAGGGTAGGAAAATAGGATCCGTAGGTGAATTTTAAACTTATGCAATAGCAAGTCTCCTTTGGTACCTGAGTCAAATATGAAGAAGAATTGAAATCAGAACTGTGAATTTGAGAAGGACTTTCCAGTGGAAAGAGCACCACGGTAACATGAGCCAGAATCTGCTTCAGCTGAAAACCTAGCTTCACAGGATCATGCTTGTTATTTTATAGGCATCTAGTTCATGTCTAATGAAACTATGTATCTGTGCTTGTGTAAGACAAGATTTTTAAGTAACTAAAAAGAAAAATAAAGCCTTTTATTCCTATTTTGTGGTTATTATACATGTGGAATATGTGTGCATATACTAAGTCCAAAGATGAACCTAGTTTTAATGAACTGCAATTAGTAGTGAGTGATAGGAGAAACAAAACTCATATGCATGACTGCTTAGCCCATCCTGCACTTGAATTCTACCAACCATCATCAGATAAACTGAGTTTGCCATGTTAACAACTTAGCCCACTTCTTCCTTTACTTTCTTAGTTACATGGTTCAATGGATTATAGTTATTCCAGAACTCTGTATTTTGAAGTTGTTAGAAGTATTCAAATTTCTTCCATTACTTAGCATTCCCCAGGCAACATAGGCTGAGGCATTTGCCTAAATTACTGAGACATTTAGTTACTTATTGCTACATTTCCAGGAAATAAGCATGAATATCTGGGGAATTATTTAATGCATTAGATCAGTATCTTCATGTTGTCAAGAATAAAATAGAGTAGAGATTGGTTGAAAACATTTTAAATAAAGAAACTTTGTTGATAATAGACAGCTGCCTTAAAATATATATGAAAATGCTATCAGTATAAATCATAGAAAATAATTATGTCAAATAAGCGAGAGTAAATAAACCTAAAGTTTTATAGAATATTTTCCTATGAGCTTTGTGACATTTAGTGACAGACATTAGTTTGCATTTATACTAATGCTAATGTATTTAATTACCTTATTTAAATACCATTTTTATGTAATGAAGTGCCAATAATTTAACATACAAGATCATTTCAAGAGTAGCTGATTAACAATATGCCTTTTTCTTTTGTTTGTAAAAATAAAGACTGTTTAGACTAATTGAATCAAAGATGAAAAAAAAATTAAACCAGATGTTCATGTTAAGTTTTCATTGTTCTTATAATAAACTCAATATCATGAAATTTAATACCAGTATTTCCAAATGTAGCTCATGCTACCTTTTAGGATACAATTAATTTTTGAGGGGAATATCCAGAAACTATTCAAACATAACCAAGTTTTGTCAGTCATATTTTTCTTCAGATATCTTTTCAGCACTGAGAGTATAGTTTTCTGTGAACTTGTTCATCACCCCAGAGGACCCAGAACTGTTGAACCGTAGACTGATTTAATATGCAATGTTGTCAGGAGTTTCAGTACCATCTTTTACAAATACACAGTGTGTACACAGATAAATACAAATCTGTTTCCTCAAATCACATAACCAACTGGGTGGACACCTAGAGAAAACTCTCAAATCTCAAGATTTACAGATTTTCTTGTAACTACAGATAAGGAACAAATGAGATGCACCTGCTAATACACTGCATTTTCACAGCATTAGTCACAAGCTCTAGACTTAGGGCTACCACTTAATGTGAGCTACCTACTTGAGGAAACGTAGAAGATGCCCTTTCTTCTGTTGATACTTTCAGACTGTATTGAGTAATCACGTGCAAAGACCTGAGAGCTTTTATATTTGTCAAGTTTTCACTATCGTTTTCTTATAAAGTCTGCTTCTCTATGTTATATGTTCACCCTTTTTCATTTTTAGGTCTTTTCTCCCTTCCTCTCTTTGCTTCTGTATTCTTTAGTGTTCTCAGCCAGACTAGAAAAACCCATCTGTAGTATCCTGTGAATGCAGTCAAGAAAATAAGAGGGAATTGAGTTATTCTCAGTATCAAGGCTACAGACCTTCTGTTATTCATGTAGGGCCCTTAAGCCTGAAAGGAGCCTCCAAAATCCAATCTGCAAGCCAGCATAGTAAGGCCTCCAATGCAGCTGAAGAAAGAGAGAGAACTCCAGTTTCTTCTTGCCCATAAATAAGTGCTTTCCCAATTTGGTGTATTTCTTGCCAGCGACATTGAGAGCTACTTCTTCTTTTTTTTCTTTTTAATAACAAAGATCAAAGAAATCCTCTAGAAAATATCTGGTAAATTTAGCTGTGCATCATTAAGAAATCCAGTTTCTCTTGTGTCTTTTCTTCACCCCCACCTCCTGGTTTTAGAACAAGAAACGCCCACCCATAACGTAGTTGTGAGGGGGAAAAAATGTGCTCTTTTAATCATTTCTCACATGCATACATTATTTGTTTCATTGTCACTTTTTCTAGTTTTAATCTTGGTGGATAGATAAAACTAAAATGGAACTTGTCCATTACTTATTGATTAGAAATCAAATGTACTGTTGGGAAATTGCCTCTTGAAAACTGGGTCAAAGATCTTTCTCCAAAAGAGCACTTCTGTTACTATCTGGAGCCTGCAAGGCAGCCTTAATGTGCTTGGGTTACCATCTACAGTTATGCCACATGGCCAGAGGCAGAATTTTAGTTGATTCTTAAAAGGCTTTCTTCTTGTACCACCACCCCCAAGTCTAAATAATGCCTCATCTCAACTTTTATAGGATAGAGGTTGAATGGCCTTGCATACAAATTCCAAGGAGAGTTTGGCTGGGAGGATGACCATTAGGTGTTGGAAAAGGAACACTATTCCATAACCTGGATGATATCATCCACAACATTGCATATTGAATCAGATTTAACATTAATTTAATTAATAATATTATTTACAAATCTATTAATAATCTAGTATTAATTAATAGAACAAAGGCCACTAGAGAGTTTGATATAACTTTAAGTACGTTACTTATGCACCTTTATATTAGAATTTAAGCCATAGGCTTTGTATGAAACACAAACCACAGAATTCTTTGGATGAATGCAGATCATTCCTTTGGAATTAAGGTGACAAATAGATATAAGTCAGACACCAAGAAGTAGAAATAAATGAGTAGGTCTGACAATCTAAGGAAAATGACCCTTCAAGAACTGTCCAAAGTGCTGAATTGTCCAGCGCTCCAAACCAGTGAATCCTGCCTGAGCTACTTCTTTCAGTCATCTGGAATGTGACATTCATCATTACACTTATCAGTCAGGCCAGTTGCCTTTGCCTGTTTCTGAATGCCATTATTAACAACATCTATGTTCTCTGAGCTGTGCCTTGACTGATTTCGCTTAATTCACATACTGAGATTATCTAGTCGTGTTTCACAGCAGTCTATCCACTGTACTTTACACTAGTTTTCTTTTATGCCTTTCAAATAAAACAAAGCTATTCTTTTGTTTATAGAAAAGATCAGTGATCCTAAAATTAAATGTTTCCTTTAAATGGACATAAGCCTATCGTAAAACACTCTCCATTTTTTTAAAGGACCAAAATCCAGTCCAGCAGGTTTTGGGGGTATCTGACATATTACAGTGCAGATATGGCCTCCACTCTCACCTTAATGTTATAGTTTTCCCAGTCACACCCTAAAATGTACAGAGCCTTGAATCTAGCACAGAAATTAGCTTCTTTAACAATTCATTAAGAGGACTGTAAAATTCAACTTTTCCCATGTATATATAATATGGAGTGCTGTAATGTCTGAACCACATTCAAATTTAAGTATTAAGTAGAAAAAAAAATTTCTAGGAAAATAAAGCATTCCTATGTTGGGAAAAATATGAAAACTTTTACATAGATATATTTTATTTTACTAACTAAAATCAACATCAGTTTTATTAGCATGATATTAATGCATTTATTATTGAAATTCTGAATCTCTAATCTCAATCAAAATATCATTTGGTGATGCAAAGATGTCCAAGTCAATGAAAATCATTATTGACACTATCAATGATTTTGATAAAAAACATTCTTCTATCAGTCCAAATTTCTACCCAATCAAATATAAATAATATTTCCTAAGGAATGTACCAATGCTTAAATTCATGTTAAGATTTTTGTCATTCCAGGAGACAAGAGTGAGATCAAATTTTGTTTTCCCCTTTTATTGTAACCTATTTCAGGGAGAAATTACCATATTTATAATAACCTGCACAACAGCAGTAGACTCTTAGAGCTTGAGGTTAAAATAGTCCAGCTGTTCTTAACTGTCCAGGTTACAACATTATTTCTCTCTTACCTTTTGATACTTGCTTCTTTTCCTTTTTCGTGTGTGCGCGTGCACATGTGCGTGTGCATAAATCCTGTTGAGAATATTCTAGACCATGTATTTGTGTTGCATTATAGGAACACTGAAGAGGTCACCATAAAGCTCACTATTTGATGATGAGAGGAAAACACAATTAGTGAGCCCATTCCTCCCCCCACCTTTGGGACCTTATAATGCTAGTTGTTTGGGATTTTTTGGAAGTGATTCAATTTGTCTTCAGAGCTATTGACAGAGATTGTGTGATTTTTGCCTGCTGCTTTTGCTCTTGTGTAACACTGGAAGTGTTATCATGTATTAAAATATGACAAAATTCTCATTGGGTTTGGGATTTCTGTAATCCCAGAATTCTTAAAATAT